TGCTTTAAAAAACCTCAAGGAATACTAACCTAGAATATCATAGAATTTTATCACTTGTTTCTACATCACACTACTGCTTATGTTTTGTGGATGTATTTAATCTTATCCCCCCCCCCCCCCCTTCTTCTTTACAGAAGCTTGCTAAGCTTTCAACAGATTGAGTGAGAAATCACTTGACCTTGAGGTGAATCTTTTTACATTTTATATATAAAATACTGTCCTCAGCAAGGGTGGTAGAGTCCTCCACTCTTATTGTCCTTTGTTGATAAGGGTAGTACCGTAGTAGGGTACCTGGAATCTTGTTTGTCCTTTGTTTTTACAACACATATATGCATACAATTTAATTGGCATTCCGCAATGACCAACATCCAGTTTGTCTTTGAATTTTCATATCATGTGTTCTTTTTCTAACTATGGATATTCCTGAGTTCAAAATTGACTTTCATGGGCATGATGCCTTTTATTTCAAGAAACTAATGGGCCGTTGCTTCAATGATCCAATTGTTTCCTGCTACTGCTTACATTTTGATATATATAGGAAGGTTAGTTTTCACTTTAGAAAGTACAAACCACTATTACTGAAAAAATAGCATATTGGCTTCAAAATTTTATATGAGTTACTTTTTTCAGATGAAAAAGAAATTTTAGTACCTTTTCGTTGAACTGGTATTGAATTACACGATTATCTACAGCTTAGACCCATATGGACATGGAAAGTTTAGGCTCTAAGAGAGAAATGAGCAAATGCTACTTCAGCAGCAACAAGTTTAGTTTCTTTTTGCTTTACAAACCATATAATTTAATCGTTTGTTTACTTGCATTGAATTCCCATCTCGAAATGAAAGGATTTCATTTTGTTTACCTTGGCGAGATATTACTCACCTTACTTGTCTATACAATTGCTCATTACTTGCATTGAATTCCCATCCTTTACCCCCTGTAAATCAGGGTCCAGAGATTGAAGAACCGAAGCATATGGCCGACGAGTTGTGCGACGCAAAAGATGAGCTAGAAAATCAAAACCATAAACTTACATAAGATAGCACTTATGCCCAAGGACTAGCCTCCGCTGCTGCCGTGGAGCTCAAATCATTATCAGTAGAAGTCACCAAGCTCATGAATCAAAATGACATACTCTCTGCCAAGCTGACATCGGCAATGACCTCATCACATATACATTTCTGAAACAACCTCGGAGGTAGTACATTACGGAATGGGAAGAGAGAGATTTAAAGGAAGCGTAACGATCACCAAGTTGCTGGATTGACTAAAGATATCAAGAGAGAGCTTTCTTCATTTTGGAATAGAGAATCCGAATACGAGGTTGTGTTTGTTGTGAAGGAGGAGAGAGAGACATAGCTCCAAAGGAGGTGGAGGAATCTAAAGAATGAGAAGTCTGAAGAAAAATAGCTTGGACTAGGTCGAACCGTTTCACTATTTCCAGCCCATATTTCGGAGATCAGCTTTGATCTCTTCTGCTTGAAGAAGCACACTCCGACGTCGTTTTCCCAATACAACTTTGTTGCCATTTCTCTTAAGGAGCCCGCTTATTCTTAGCCACCTGTATCTATCCTATTGGCTACTTACAATTGTTAGTTAGTATTAGTTTGTTAAACACTGTTTAGTGACCGTTGTAAATGGTATGGTTTCCCTAGTGCAACCTATATATTTTACTTGTAAAGATTTCATTCAATCTAATGAGACATGATTTCAAATAACCCTATTCTTATGGTATCAGAGCACAAGTAGTTCTCTGTTAGGGTTTCTTGATCACGAGCACTGAATCTACACAGTCCTCTACAGTGGCTACTTCTACCAACTCTTCTAGCTCGACAGATCTGTTGGAGCAACAATCCATTGTCTCAATCAAGTTTAATGGAAGGAACTACAACTTATGGAGCATATCCTTAAGGATTGCTATGAAAACAAGGAAGCAGCTTGGATACATTGATGGTTCAAAACCAGAACCTAATTCTACTGATGCTGGCTTTGAAGAGTGGGATGCTAACAACACTCTGGTATTAGTCTGGCTCCTTAACTCTCTTTATGAAACTACTGCTGAGAGTGTGTCTAGCACTAAGAATACATATATGATCTAGAAGATCTGAAAATGGGATATGGTCTCCAGATTCAGATCTATTCTTATAAGCAGGGAAGTGATAGTATTAATGAATAATTTACTAAATTGAAGACATGTTGGGAAGAAATATGTCCAGTACAGAACAGTTGTGTGTAGTGCTTGTCCTAAGACAGATTGTCAAGCAACTGTAGCTCTTAATACGCTTAGAGGTTTCATACATGATGATTATGTTATGAGGTTTATACTGGATTGAATGACATATATGAGGGAGTGTGTACCAACTTGTTGATGATGAAGCCTATGCCTAGCATAGGATTTGCATTCGTTTATGTCCTGCAACATGAAAGGCAGCTAGATCCACATGGTACTAACTAAAGGAAATGAAGGAATGACCCTAGTAGTTAATGGAAGCAGGGGAAAGGATTAAAGGAAGGGTACAACATCATCTCAGGGTGGTCATTTCTGCAGATATTGCAAGAAAGACAACCATGTCCAAAAGGATTGTTGGAAGCAGAAAGTTAAGAACAGGAAGATGATGGAAGCAGGCCACAACAACTTTGTTGGTTCAATGTCAAATCCAGCCGGAGATGTCTCTTCTAAGGGACATTCTGATGAAGAAAAATTAGGCTATAAAACCTCAAGCTCTATACTGAGGATTGTAATAGACTTCTCAATCTAGTGCAACATTCTCCTGCAACCTCTCCAAGTTCCACAAGACCTGGATCCCCGAGGATGCTGCCACAGGCAAATTCTGTTTCTCAACAATTGCCTACTTTCGCCAACTTTGCAGGCAAGTTAACACTATTTAACATGATATTTGGATTATGGATACTGGAGCTACAAACCATATATCTTGCAATTTATCATGTTTCCTTGCTCATAGAGAAATTAGAAATGTGTGTTCTAACCTTACCTAATGGTCAAAAGGTAGAGGCCACTCACATAGGTGTTGTTAAGTTGCCATGTAGCCTCATTCTTCACCAAGTCCTCTATGTCCCATCCTTCTCATTCAATCTCATTTTTGTTAGTAATCTAACTAAAACCTTACCAGTATCACTCACTTTCAAATCCTCATTCTGTGAAATCCAAGACCTTCTTACCAAGAGGAGGATTGGTTTGGCACATCAAGTTAGAGGTCTCTATCAAATGTCTCAATGCATTTCCCCTATCCCAGATGCCAGAATCAATCCACCCACCATTGCCACAATCTATAACTTTACTAAACAGAACTTTGATCTTTGGAATTCCAAACTAGGACATCCTTTGCATTGAGACTAAACATCATCCTAAATTCTAGTCCATTAGTAGAAAAGTATGTAATAGACCACTGTGAGACTTGTCATTTTGCTAAGCAAAAGAAGCAGGCCTTTGATTTAAGAAATTCCGCATTTGTAGAACCCTTTGATTTGGTCCATGTTGACATTTGGGGACCATATTCTGTAATGAGTTAAAATGGATTTCATTATTCCTTAACTGTGGTTGATGATTACTGTAGATGCTTATGGGTTTTCTTGATGAAAGCTAAATCTGAAGCTAGAAAATTGCTTCAAGATTTTTGGTAAGGAATTTAAGATCAAGGACTTGGGATTACTGAGGTACTTCTTAGGACTTGAGATAGCCATAAGTTCAAAAGGAATTTTTGCTTGCTAAACAAAGTATTGCTTAGACATGCATAAGGATGTTGGATTTCTCAGTTGCAAACCAGCTCTATCTCCAATTGACATGAAGACAAGACTGTATGCAGGTGAATGGAAACTTGCTACTAGATTCAACACTATACAGAAGGCAAGTTGGGAAGCTTCAGTACATTACAACCACTAGACTAGACATTACTTATGTTGTTCAACAACTTTTCCAATACCAGAAGGAGCCAACAGACAAACATATGCAAGCAGTCCATCATGTTTGCAGATGTCTTAAAGGCCATCCAACACAAGGCTTGTTGTTTAAGACTTGCACAACACTGCAGTTGAAGGGCTATTCAGATGTAGATTGGACAGCTTGCGCAAATACTAGGAGATCTCTATAAGGTTATTCCACCTTTATGGGTGAGTCACTCATTACTTGGAGAGCTAGGAAACAACAGATAGTGTCAAGATCCTCTTTTAATGCTGAATACAAATCTCTCGCCATGTCATCTTGTGAAATGGTTTGGCTGAAGCAACTGCTCTTGAAATGAGAGTCAACTGCACAGAATCAACAACTCTTTTTTGTTACAACCAGTCTGCAATCCACATTGCTCATAACTCTATTTTCCATGAGAGAACAAAACATATGAAAATGGATTGTCACTTGATTCGACAACACATCTTGCAGAAAATCGTCACAGTGACACATATCAGGTCTGAACTTCAACTTGATGATCTCATTACTAAGGCACCGAGTCTCCATAGACTGCATTTCATTCTTCTTAAGCTAAGAGATTCAAATATCTACACTCGTCAGCTTGAGGGGGGTCTGCAGGAAAATAGCTTGGACTGGGTCAAACCGTTTCACCGTTTCGAGCTCACCTTTCGGAGATCAGCTTTGATCTCTGCTGCTTGAAGAAGCACACTCCAACGTCATTTTCCAAACATGACGTCGTCACTATTTCACTTAAGGAGCCCGCTTATTCTTAGCCACATGTATCTATCCTATTGGCGACTTTCAATTATTAGTTAGTATTATTTTGTTAAACACTGTTTAGTGACCGTTGTAAATGGTAGGTTTTCCCTAGTGTAACCTATATATTGTTCTTGTAAAGATTTCATTAAATCTAATGTAACAAGGTTTCATACAACCCTATTCTTAAGAAGCGTACTAGAAGAATGAGCTACCCAACATGTTGGTACTCGATCGTGGTCAAACCCAAAAGGGAAACTAGTAAGTGGAGCAAGTTACTATTGTCGTGCAGTTGTGATTGCTTGCAATTGGGGGGTTTGTAGTGTTCTACGGTGTATTAGCTTCATTTTTCATATGATGTATGATTTTGCGTGTACCGTTATCCCTGTAATGATGAACAACTGAAATTTAACCAGTATCCTCTATCAATATAATCATATAATTTCTCCGAGGAAGGATTGATTGGTCCGAAGTTGGGTCGTTCTGGTCTTCAAAAAGAATGAACAATCTAAAACAAAGAGCAACTATCTTTTAGCCATAATTCCAACAATGAACAAGGATCTTTGATACAGCCCAAACAAACAAAATAATCAAAGAGCAAATAAAACATAATCAATGCCCTAACTTCAGCTTCAAATCCACTTGGTCCCCTTCAGCAAAGTTACTGCCGGTACCATTCTTCTTTCCGATGGACCTCATCAGTGCTTCATGAAGAACCACATTGTTTCTCTTCCACCTCTCTACCTTCAACCTCTTATACTCGACACTAAGGATGCGAGTACGCTTCTTCGCCTTCGAAGTAGAAGCAACTACTTGTGGCTTCTCGTTATACTTATAATTCGAATAATGATTGGGAGGGAGCTCAACGATCCCTTCCCCCTCTTCATCCAAACACACCAACTTCTTCCTATTCTTCTCCTCCTTATCTTGGTCGTCGTCATTACCACCCTTTTGGAGTTTATCGGGTGACTTGAGGACGACTTCGAATTCGTAGTACTGGAGGAGCTCGCCGGAGGTGTGCGTACCGCTTTCATTTCCAGACGCACTTGTAATAGTACGGTCAGTTGTTGATGTTGATGATGGGGCGCCTGATTTCTCCATTATGTTTTGGTGATTATCTGTAATGTCCTTTTGATTAAATATGGTTGTCCTCTTGTCCTTATTTATATACTTCAGGCAGTTGGATATTAATTAATTTTCAAGAAATGGAAAGGCAGCTCTTTCGAATTAATGACTTCCAAAAAACAAAACATTTTGAGTGTATAAGAGTTGTCACGTGGAGCTTTGTCCATTATTTTCTGGGCACTGTTCAATGATTTTCCTAATATAATAATACAACAACTCACCCTCCCAAATTTGTATTTTTCATATATGCATGGATGTCATTATATTTATTGTTTTTTCTTATAACGGTTAATATATTTAATTGAAACCATTTGAATGCAAAAAACTTAATTACATTCTTACCTTTTTTTTTTTGCCAGAGATATTCCCAAAAAGGGAAATATCAAATATAGTGTAAAAAATAAAGTCTTTTAGGCGAATTATATTCTTACTTAAAAGAACAAAGAGTTTTATATTAATACGAAATGAAAACATTATTTACAAGTCAATTTAGTTTCAAATCTTATCCGTAGCTACGGATTACAATCTGAATATGATTTTGTCAAATGATTTTTCTTCTCGTATAAATCGGCTTCCATCAATGAGATTGAGAGTGGTGGCATTGCATTCTCCTAAAACTTATCAGTGTCTTAAATCTTAATTACAGTTTACATCTTGTCATTTGCAATGACTTAAGTGCTCTCGCATGATAGTGAAGAGAAATTGGAGTTCATTGTAAAAAGCAACCCCTAAATGTACCTGGTTTAGTGAACTCTTGAGTTGAGAAAAACGAAATGCAAAGATCCTGAGTTCAAACTTGTACAAGGTCTGCACTAGGATGTATTTTCTTTCCAATATTCGTGTGTCACGTGACATGATTGCCTTAATTATTCGATTATAAAACCGATTGTATTTAATCTGGAGATGTCGTGTGATACTCCTACAAATAACGCCCATCTCATCCTTCTACTCCTCAGCAGCTCTCAGCTTATGGATTAAAGATAAACAGTCCGACTCAAGCATAACATTTGGCCATTCAAATTGTCGCGCGAGTTGGGCCCTGAGTTCCGCCGCCATTGCTTCTGCGGCTTCAGCTGACAATGTCCCTGGGATTTTCTTAGCAGCGGTCAGCAAAAATGGAATGACAAAAATAATCAAACCTTCTTTCTAACTCATCTTTCTCTCTAGTAAAGGGCCACGACACGACTCCCACTCTCTATTTTCCCCTAGTTTCTTCCTTCAGAATCCATTAGGTCTACGGTCTACCCTTAAATTCCTCTAAATTTAGTCTCTCATTCTATCAATTATCCTAAATTCCAATATGTTGTAATTATATTGAATGTCAAAATCCGTGCATCCGTCATTTGGGCATGATAGTTACTTCATAAATAACTACAAATGGCTCATCTTTTTTTTATGGATGCCATAATAGAAGAGGAAGTAGTGCGTCACGAACATTGAAACCATAATCAATGTATTCAAAGTCCAATGCTACACGCCTACAACCACACAATCAAACTTGTTTGTAAACCGAAAACGGTCTCTCCTAAGTAGTGATGGCATTTACCCACTCATGGGTAATTATACCCAAACCCATGTAGACCCATTGATAATGGGTTGGGTATGTGTGAAGTGCATATGGATTTGGGGTTTGTAGATAGGTTGGGTATGGGTATGGATATTGCTTCCATAATCTAAATGGGTGTGGATTGGATAAGAATATCCATTTACTTGAGTTTGTTTTAACTACATATATCAAAATTTGACCTATTTGTAAAACTTGAAAAATTTATGTACCAAAATGTAAGACCAAAAAAATTTAGGTACCAAAATGTAATTTTCCATCGATATTTTGTGGACTTGTATGCAAAAAAAATTGGTACTAAATATGTATATCTATTAATTTTAGATACCAAACTGTAATTTGCATTTGGGCATGGGTAAAACCCAAATTCATTTGTTGAAACCCCAACTCAACCCGGAATGGGTACAACCCCATCAAGCTCTACCCATATCCATCTATTTGGATTTCATACCCAATCCAATTGAGTTGGATAGTAAAATACTCATGGTATAAGTAAAATTGCCATATTTATATAAATTCTGTTAAGTTCTCTGCCTCCAGCAGTAAATCGTGGGCGAGTTCAGCCAGGGTAGGTTTCCTGTAATTTCTGGGTTGTGAGTGCTACACCCTTCCGCAAAAAGCAGTAAACACAGCAAGGAACGAAGTCACTCGACTGAAAGGAGAGGAACGATGGAAAGATTGAATAACCAGTTGTTGTTTAATACATCAGGCTTGACGCCAAGTGAGTGGAAAGAATCCGTCCTTTTGCCTCTGTTTCCGCCTCGATTCGGGCGAGAGACCGGCTTGGCTATATGGTTCATCCGGGGGAGAGATCGAGCTTCAAGAAATAGATTTCCGGTCCTGGGGGTTCCGCAGTTGCAACCTTTAGGTATATTTTTTCTTGATGGTAATGTTGAATCATCCCCCTCTCATTTGGATTCCAAATTCTGTATTCTATCTTATCGTTTTTTCACTTCACCTATTGACGAATAAAGAAGTCCCGGGAGGATAGACCAGCTCGAAACTCAGCCAATTGACTCGTCCGAGTTCCGGATGAAATCCAGGTATTGCTTAGACGAGCGACTATGCTGAAACGGGTATGCTGCTTTGCCATGGGTTGATTGTTGCTGCTCTTTTGGCGCTTCGCTGTTCGAGACATGGGTGCATTAACTTATTTCCTAGGTATTGAGTTCGGGAAAGCCGTATTCGACGAAAGTCGTATGTACGGATTGGAGGGAGGTCTTTCATATCTTTCGAGATCCACCCACTAGCCCGAGGCTTGCTGGAAGGAAAAATATATTTGTTCGGCTAAGAGTTTCCAAAGAAAGACTTTTCTATTAGGGGACGGTTGAGGCAACTGAAACATCTCTTATCACTTTTATCCTATAAAGAGACTATCCCAGGAACCTAAGGGCGGGGCCTTTAGACCTCTTTCATACCTGATCGACTATTATTCCATACCTGCTTATCCTCGCCTTTCTAAACCACGTATGCACGCAGAGCTTTTTGGTTGTTAAGTTATAGCAGCACTGAGCAACATCCAACAGCCGTAGGACGCGTGGACGGATGAGCGATTGGACCGCCTACAGGACAGTTACACCCTTATAGAGAAAGAACACACCTCTTATAGGCCTGTCCCTTTTAATCGTGTTGCTAAGGAGGTCATGGGATACTGTAAAAGGAATGAAGCCATGAAGGTACTGCTCTGTCTTCCTCAGGAACAGTAAAAAGTCAGAAATGCTGAATTAAGTTCATCATTCAATACCCTTAATGCAAAAGAGACAAATTTTTTTAATTAAACGATGTCCCATTATTAATTCCTCGTCACATTATTCACCAGTCATCTCATCAATTCATTATATCATGCAAGGTGATCAAACCCTAGAGCTTCAAAATCTATTCATCCAAATTCTTCGTCGATGTTGGCTCCGGATCCAACTCAGCGGCAATGGGCCCCGGCGGTGGGTCGTCCTTGTCATCATCCTTAGTTGGGCCGTCCACGTCAGCAAGACCGCCAACCACGGAGTCCGCTGGCGCCGCCGCGTCCTCTTTGTCATGATTAATAGTAATTGGATGCGCAGGATCACCACTGCAAATAACAATCGTCTTACCAAACAGCCTACTCTCATTAACACTACGGACTAACAGAAGAAAATGGTGAATTTTCTTCTCCCTCAAGTCTGAAACGTGAACCAGAAGGAAGCCAGATTACCAAGACCATGAACGCTGCCGTTTCAATCGTTGTAATTGCTTGGGGTAAGCTTCTGAGACACCAGAATCTGGCCGGGCTGTTCAGATCCGTGAAGATAGTATGGATCTGCGAGCGGGTAGCCTGTGGCAGGCTTCATTCCACTTGATGAAACGTCGCCGGCTGCAACAGTACCGTCCGCCATTGTTGATGGTTTGAGGTTTTACTGATTTCGCAAGAGAAGAAGAACGTGAAGAAGAAGAAGGAGGGTGAAAGTGTGGGTGAGCAAGGAAAGGGGTGTGGCGCCCCTAACCAGGCTCTGATACCATAACAACAGTTTGTTGTTTAGGGTTTCAGAGGATTCAACATACCTCCTCCCTTCTTCTCATTTCATATATATAGTCTAGGTTTGGGATTACAAGCGCCAGCTATGCTGGTGAAATGATAGCAGTGAAAACAGAGGAATAAAACAGTTAAAACAGTAAAGAAGGTCGCTGTCGACCGTTACAGAGGAAGCAACCCCATTGGTCGAATTAAGACGAACCAGAGCGTGACGCGTGTACACCTGGATCCGGATTGGTATCACTCTTCACCAGGGTTACTCCTACCTCCTACACTGCTATTCTGGTTTATGTAGATGATTTAATTGTGGGGGGGAATGATGCCACTGAAATCAACAGGATCAAAGCTCATCTGCACCAAACCTTCAGTATTAAGGATCTAGGCTATCTCAAGTACTTTCTGGGATTGGAAGTAGCACGTTCTGATAAAGGGATTCATCTTTCCCAGCAGAAGTATGCCTTGGAATTACTTGATGATGCATGCCATCTTGGTGCAAAACCAGTTACAACTCCCATGGACTACAAAGCTCATTTGAGCTCCAATGATGGTGCTGAGAAAGTTGACCCTACTGCCTACAAGAGCCTTGTTGGAAAATTGATTTATTTGACAAACACGAGACCAGATATTAGTTTTGCTACTCAGCAAGTAAGTCAGTTCATGGGAGAGCCATCTGTCATCCATAACAAGGCTGTCACTCGCATTCTGCGTTACATCAAACGCAATCCTGGTTATGGTCTTTTCTTTCCTGCTTCCTCACCCCTGTCACTCCAAGCATTCAGTGATTCAGATTGGGGGGCATGTCCAGATACCCGCAGGTCCATCACAGGCTACTGCATTTTTCTTGGGAAGTCTCTCATTTCATGGAAGTCCAAGAAGCAAACCACCATATCTCGATCTTCATGTGAGGCAGAATATCGAGCTCTTGCTCACACAACATGTGA